CTTCATCAGAGCTAAACAACAAAAGAAATCTGAAGCTTCTATGTTGAACAGTTTCTGAGTTACAAGCGATTTTGCATGTCCAGACACCCCCACTGTGAAAGGAGCCCCCTCCTCAAATATGGGGTCTATCGTAAAACGTTGGCTGGCGCAGTGTGGGTCAGACTCATCTACAGTCCTGCCAAATTTCATGTTGATTGGTGCAGCCGTTTTGTGCCACGGTTGACCAAAAATCACTGAAAAAAAAGTACGAAAACAATATGACTCCCGCTTACACTTCGCATGCGGGGGTCATAATTATAGTTAAGCACGTTTGCTGAATTAGCACAATGAAGAAGCAAAATCGCAAAATGGAATCACACTGTGATTTTGTTCTGAAGTGTTCTTTTACTGTCAAAATCATTACCCAGCTGTACTTTTGAATATTTTTCCCCCTCCTGAAGATTGCACTTGGAGGGCAGCTCAAGTAGCTGACTTTGTAATTAGCGGCTGCCTCGATAAATCAGACAGTAATTAACCAAAGATTGTGTTGGCAAATTAAATGGAAGGTTCGCCTCACATTTGTGCTATCGTTCAAAATTCCTATAATTTATTCATTCAAAAATTCCAAGAGGTAAAACAAAACCAAGAAACCATTTTAAGCTTCCTTTTTTATTTTCACGTCTTAAGATTTTTCTCCAGCAGATATTCTCAAGTGTTTTGTATTTCGTAGTGAGTTTTATTACTTGTTTTCCATTAAGCCCTGAGCAGATTTGATGCCCCTCCCAGCAGCTCCTTTATCAATCCCCACTGCTCTCCCCGCAGAGCCATCATGTCACTGGCATTCATTTTAGCTTGGGAAAGTTGCTTTGAACCATTTCTAATTTCTCAAGATACAGWGCAGCTTGCATTAACAGCCACAGAATATCCGCCTGAGAAAAGCGTGCAGCAGTAGCAGTAGCCGTGGCGTGATTGCATCATGAATATTGTTGACATGTTTAATTGTTTTGGTGCTGTAAACTAGCATGGAGCCGCTCGGTGATGGGTTGTTGTTTCAATGTGACAGTGTGGAGCAGCGCATGAGGGATTGCGGGTTTATTTCAGTGCAGACAAGCAAAGCAGAAAGTGGCTTTATTACCAGTTTTATTAGGCAGAATTAATGCTTTAGGCTCAAACCTTGTTTTAAGCTTGATGTTTTTTTTATATCAGCAGATATTAGGCTTCATCAGGAATTTATGAAAGGCCTTTATGTTGTTGTTTTTTTTTTTTCTACAAAGCATTGACTCCCAGTCACTGCTGGCATGATGGCTGCATAAATCAAAGCAGCTGCGAGGACTTACTCTCCCTCCTGTGCCCTCCGCAACAATTGCCAAAATACACTCCTTTATGTCCACATTTCCTCATCTCACTCCATCACCTCTCCTCACTTCCCGCCYACCTCCTAAACCAGCTCCTTAGTCTTCATTTCTCAGATTTTTTTTATCATCTTGCCCAGCTGTCTGAAATCATAAGATGTAACGTGAACACATTTCGTAATGCATCTCATCCAGTGGTAAAACCCAGAGCAGGATAACACTGGGTAACACAATGCATTCTCTTTTGAAAATTGGCTCAAGAGATCCCGCTCTAAAAGCACCATGGGAATTCAGCGGATGTCATCATCACTCTCTTTCCTTTGCCTGACTCCAAATGCTTCTGGGCAATTCTAGAGGCTGAAAGCAAAGTAATTAAATAGGCCCTCCAATGAGAACATGTGTGCGTGTTTGTGTGTTTGTGCATGGACCCTACATGGGAGCGGAAGTAAATCTGGGATCATTACGCCACAGAACTTTGTGCCTCTATGAAGCAATGATTTACTGGAAAGATTTTCTTGGTTTCGGAAGCTACTATTTCCACGCTTAGCAGTCAACTTTGTTGTTCAATGCTCAATCTTGAAAGCATTTATGAAGGGACACACAGAATATATAATTCCTACATCACGAAATGCATAAAAACAACTCATCACAAATTTATGTTGCCCAACTATAAAAGTGAAAATGATTTTTTTTGTCTTTTATAGTAGAAGCATGTGAGGTAAATCTTTGCCTAAAAAAATGTAGTGATTAGCATACAGCTGCTGCTTTGGTGTTGTGAAGCTTATTCATAATAGGAGAGTAGGGAAATCTTTTACACGTAATAAGCATTTAAACAAAGGCAGTATTTCAGTGTCTCAACCTAGTTTTTTCTGTCGTTAAGCTTTTAAAGTCCAGTGCATCCAGATGTTTTGTTGCTGCGGGTCGTGCCAGAGACTCGTCAGGAAGCCTTGGTGCAAATTGTTGTCTTGAGTAATAAAAAAATAGTATTTATGTACAGTATTTCATTTATGTATATACATRGTCTTTGCACGCTGTATGAATGCAAAAGAAAAACAGCAGCTAGTTATGGAGTGGTTTGTATTTACAGATAAAACATTAGGTAGGAAGCATTCAACATGGCTTGTGAAGCAGCAAGATAATGTGTTAAAATGAACATCTGCTCTTTGTTTGTGAAGATTTGTTAAGTAAATTAGATCTTTTAAGATTCAAACCTTTTTTTTTTTGGTGAGCAGTACTTAAGAAGAACTGTTTTAAGACRTGGATCAATAATGAAAAATCAAAAGTGCATCTACTGGCTGAAAAATAAAAGACATTTTATTTGCTAGAGTTGCTCACAAATGCTTTTCGTCAGTTGTCAGAACCTCCCCCCCCCGACTCTGATCCAAACCAAACAGTGAACGTGTTCACTCACACTGCAGTGCTGAAATCCCTCCCCAGATATCTGAGCTCCCATTCGCACCTTGACATGCCACTCAAACASGTGACCTCGGCGCGCTAATGATCTCACAAGAGGTTTAAACACGCAGGACTCCCCTTACAGTCGGTAAATGCCTTTCAGCTGGGGAAACAATTGGAGCGCAAGCATTTCCAGTTGCCTTTGTCTACAGCGCTCAGATTGGCCTCGACCCGAATCACAGATGATCTTTGCAGACAATACAGTTGTCTCTCCTACATCGTGAGGTCTAAAAGCCACAGAGTTAAAAAGCAGCGAACGACAGCTGAAGAGGAAACTGAATAGACTGTATTCAGCAGCGCACACACCCTCCTTCAGTCACAGCAACCGCTGATTTACTGTTACACTGATTATTCCATCTACTACCCAGCAGTCTCATGTCATTAGTAGTACTGGTTTTACAGACTTGATTTATGACATCATTTGTTATGATCATTGAATACATTTTTTTGCTGCATTAACAGGGCAGTTAGGAGTACTCACTCATGTCCTAACTCTTTCAACAGAGGTAATTGTTCAGAACATTAAAGGGACGCTATTATGTGTTTCTCAGGCATACATTAAAATAGTATACCATAATAAAGTATCTGTGTCACGTTTAGCTGTTATTAAAATGCTGTTTTTAGGTTTAAATAGGAAATAAACTTATCTTCTCATCACTTCCTCTTCCAAACGTCTTGAAATTGGCCTCTGTCTTTTTAAGATTCACCTTCCGCTTCCGTTTTGCCCATTTCAGTGCGGGGCGGTCGCGCTCACGAGGGCCAGAGGGTGGGGCTGCCATGATGCAGTTTAATTGGCATCTGAAAATACATTTCCTCAAATGTACTTTTAATCTGAAAAGAGCTTCACTGAGTGAGAACTAATGTTAGGAGCTCCACGGACAGTTTAAGTTTCACTTTCACTTTCACCCCCTGCAAGAGTCATGGGCTGGGTGTGTTGGGAGGGGGGAGAGGATGTGCTCTGCCATGAGGAAGCTCGGCTTAAAGACACGTCCCAGGGGCGTTTCTGATCCCCACCTGTCGTTTTGCTCCTCAGCATGGCTTCCAAAAAACGTTGCAGGATTTCTCAAACATGCATGAATGAGTCAAAGCAAGGATTTGGGCATGTTTTTTTATGAGAGTATATAATATTGTAACATGATATAAAACTCAAAAAAGTTGATTTTACATGATATTGCCCCTTTATAATAAATCTGCTCAAAGGCAACAATCTGAAGGTAAAAATGGGAAAGAAATACAGTTTTTCTGTATTAAAAAAACAACCAATTATCCAGCTGATTAAAACCAAGGTGGTAATTTTGAAGGGATATRATGTCTTACTCTATTACTCCCTGGGTGACTTTTCTGAAGGCTGATGTCTGTTTATTGTCCTCTGCAGGCATTTCTCCTGTCTATCTGCCAAATACATGTGTCCTGGTGTGCCAGCAGTGATGAGCAACCTGCTCGCCAATATTAATGCTTATTTTGCCCACACGACAACCACCACCACAACCACCGCCTCTGCTTCTGACAGATTTGCTGCCTCTAACTTTGGGGTGAGTACTGTCAGCTGCTACAGATGTTAAACCTTGATGTTTTTTTATGTCTTTTTTCACATTTTTCACTAAAATTATACATTTTGTGGTTTTATTTCTTCTAAAAATGTTTATGCATTAAAAGTCACCTCACAAGTTTGCCAGCACTTTCATTTTAAACTTTTAATAAGCTAATGTTGCAAAACCTCATATAATATTTTTTGAGGCAGCAAGCCAAGTTTGGCAATGTAGCAAAACAGCTAAATTTTGTTCCAAGAAGTCAAAATGAATCACGGCAGACAGGCAACACCACAGACCAGGCAGTGTTATAAATTTTTGTTTTGTGCTTTGAGTAGAGACTGAATTATTAAATTCTGCTCCTAACAGAGGGAGAAATTTGTCAAATTACTGGATCAGCTGCATAACTCATTGAGGATCGACCTTTCTAAATATCGGGTATGTGAAATGTTTCCTACATTTGTGTGTGTGTACAGTAACTGTGTGAAAGAGAAAGAAAATCAGATGTTAGATTTGCAATGCTAAACTCATACTCTGCTTTAAAGGTACAAACTGTGGCAGATAACTGTGAGTTTTCTTGTCTGCTAATCATGTTCATCCTCAAAAAACGACTATTAACCCAATTTATAAAATTGGACCCTATTTTGCTTTTTTTGACATAAACGTGTGTTACTTGCCAGCTTTTATTCAGAACAGGTCTCAAGGTAGAATCCACTCTATTTACATCATAATGTCTGTTTACTACATCTGGTGTGGAACAATGCAGTTGCACATTTTCTAATGCCAAGTGGGAGTTTTCTTGCTTTTCAAACACTGATTGAGCTCTATTCCTTCCTGAATTCATTTTACTAAATAGTTTGGATTTTGCCAACTTTAAGGATTTACTTCAAATCAAGTTTGAAGAGAGTTTACCTAATGTTAAAAGTAATGTGAAATACACTAAATGCCAATAAATGAACAATAACATTATAATGACATTAGCTAATCTATCTTGTGAAATATTTATGTTACTTGCACCTTGCTGAAATCTCCAGAGGTGACTGAACTCCACAAGTGTGTCTGTTCAAGTATTGAATATAAATGGATAGCCCAAGGGCCAAAAAACTGGCTTGTGAGCTCTGTGCATTTGGGTCCTAAAGTATTAAGATGTTCTGGGTTCAACCCCATGACTGGCATTGGTGGGCACAGTTCCCTTGAAGCACTAATAGGGAAACTAATTTCCTGTTTAGCGCTTTAGGGCTTTTGCTGATTTCTTAATTTATTAGTGGATTAGCACTTGCTATATTTATGGGCTAAATTTATAAGCACTAATTGAGTTTATTGATCAAAATTATTGTCAAAAGCTGAGGGTGAAATCTGTCAGACGTGTTGGTCACTTATACACTAGATCAGTGGTTTTCAAACATTTTTGCTTCCGGCCCACAAAATAACAATTGCAGACACTTGTGACCCCATATATATTACTTGTTTACATAGGCCAATTTTGCTAATAACTCTGTTAAACATGGGAATAATAACTCAGCAAACCTAGTAACTATGATACTTATTTTTATTCATTTATGGTTATTTAAAAAAATGCAATAATCATGATGAAAATATTCCATTAGCATTTTTTTTGCATTTAAACTGAAATCATCTAAGGACCCTCATTTGATGTTTTGTGACCCACAAAGAGATCTCGACCCCAACTTTGGGAACCTCTACACGAGATGAAATATTAACAATATTCTGCACACAGAAAATATTGTCTCATGTTGACTCTGAGGA